GCCGTTATGGCTGTTTTCTTTGACCTATAACATCTGCTACCTATTATTTACATATTAACATTATTTAGGAACATGCAAATGAAGCAAATTAAAGTGTATCCCTTTTGATCCCTTTCTGAAGAGTCACCGTTTTTTGACTAAAAAAATGCTCTGCAGCAGTAAGAAAAGGTTGTGTTCATCAGCAAATGCTCATACAATGCTGTAGAAGTTACAAACATAGGTTTCTATTAAGCAGTTGCTATGACAAACAAACAAACAAACAGCATCTCTTGTTTTGTAGTATGTTTACTGTATTGTCCTGGTATACATCCATTACTTCAATTATCTAAAGAAAGAGGCTTTGATAGATTTCCACGCAATGATGTGATCCTTGTGAGAGGCACACACATGCACTTATTGTTGAAGGTAGAAAATGGTTGCTTTGTGCAGTTATGGTTGTGTAGCTGGGAATATAGATCAGTAGAAGCAGAAAGGGAGCCTGATCATGTATTCATAATGATTACTTTGTTAAGTGAGTTGACATCCAACCTTGGTGGAAGTTTGTCCAGTGCTCTGCAGCATTTTGACTGGTGAACGACTTGTGGCTCAGGCAATACAGATTTCCAGTAATGTTAAACTATGTGAAAAATGCACCATACATTGTTTGCGTGATATTTGGAGAAAGCAAGTCAGTGAACTGACAGATCATGAGATATATTTCTTACTTCAGAGAGTCAGAGCCTGGAGCAAATGCCTCTCTCCCCATCCACCCTTCCACAAGCAGGCAGGAGTGACTGCTCAGGAGGACCAGAAGCAACATCTGCAGTGCGTTCTGGTGGTTCCAGCTCTCTGTTTGTTTATTTGTTAATAAGTAAGCCCCACTGAGGTTGGGTAGGTCTTGGTAAATCCTTAAGAGACTTTCTGTATGCCCAGATGTGTAATCATTAATAGTGCCACGGCCAGACCTATAAACTGTTGTGCCTGAGCAGAGTCTTGAGGGCATGAAGGGTCTGTGCACACTGACAGCTCCACACGAGCAGGGCCTTAAGAAGGATCACCTTCCTGCCCATTTACATTAGCAAGCACTTCCTACTGTAGTGTGAGGCACTGCTGTCATTCCTTGTGTATCATACTAGGGAGGAAGCACTTGGACACTTAATGCAGTGTGGCATTTCATTATATTTTTCTGATTCAAGGAAAGGAACTATGCTCTCTAAAATTAAAATAATTTTTTGAGCTTAGAATGGATTTCCTCTGCAAGGATGGATTTTTTTCCATTCTAGAAGTAAACAGCGTAGAATAAAAGCAGGTGAATTCTCTATATACAGTAGTCAGCTTTTCACATTATTCTCTTTACTACCATCTGAATGTTGTTTCTGCAAAAAGTAAAGACTGGTTCTGATAAGAAAGTAGTACTGTGTACTTTGTGCTGCTGCTGTGCTTTGTATTTCCCAGCTGTACTCTTGATTAAAGGACATCTACTTCCCTCTAGGAATACTGAATCAGGATTTGTCCTTGCGAACAGCAGAGCAACAAGTTAGACTTGAGGTAATGGTATGCCAACTCAAGGACTGAGGTGCAGCTCACATCCGAGTTGAAGAACCAAAGCAGTGTGGTACCATTTGCTGGCATTTTAATCGCTTTGCCGATTTGTTCCTTCTCATGTACCTGGGAAAGTGAGGCTCTGGCTTCTCTTGTGATTACTGGGCTAGCTCCAATATGGGGTCCTCTCTAGATCTGCACTTGTTCTTCTTACCTACACGTGCCTTCCCTCCCAGTTCCACCCTCTGGGGCTGCACCTGGCACTCGAATGAACTAAATAAGCAATGTGAATTGCTTATCACAACCATTGGGAGTGCAGCACTCCGCAGAGGGCAGGACTTGAACCTCCACACCTGTGTGATTTACCACAGTTACACAAGGAACTCGCTCCACGTAGTCAGACCATCCTTCGTGTTTGCTGAACACCTGCCTTGTACAAACAAAAGTGTTGATGCCTTGACATCCAAACATCTAGCCTGCGCTCCCCGAAAGTCACTTTTCAGATATTCAGTTGCACTTTACAATTTCAGCCACTCAATGAACTTTTGATCTTTAGGTTCCAACCTAAAAACAGGTTTTGAAGCCTTCGGGCTAGAATCAGTGAATGCAGTCTGTACAGTTCACTGCTTGGCTTTGTCTCCTGCCGTTGCCAGAGGATGGCTTATTTGTACCTGTCTTTGGAGCTTTGCTGATAGTTTATCTACCAGCATTCTAAGCTGGACACACCTATGTATGTAGCTTCAGTTTATCCAGTATAGCTGCTCACTTCTCCCTTTCTGTAAAGAGTGATGTGAAACACTTAGCAACAAGTTAAAAGTAAAAACTATTTTTCAAAGCCATGTTAAGAATTGCTGTTTTTACACATGGGACTGACGTGTCCCATCAGTCTGCTGGGACTGATGGCAGTAGATACTTTGTAATTGGTTTTCAGGATTGCAGAATATTGACATCCCGCAGTCAAATCTGTTATCAGAGAACATCTTTCAAAACTGTTTTCTAAGAAAACAGCCGACAGCTAAAATATGAATGTGAAGTATGTGATTATTCAAAACATTACAGGTCAATCACTTAAATTATGAGCACATAATGCAGAAAAATTAAAAACTGAAATTTAAATCAAAGAAAACACTAAAACTTAATTCAGATTACTTTTGCATATTTATGAACTGAATTGCATCATGCCAAACTTCTCTTTGACATAAGGAGAATGGCGCTCAGTGATTCTGCTCTGATGACAAAGCAATAGTTGAAACAGAAAATAGTTCTTAAAGAATCAGTTATTTGGACGTTTGGGATTCATAATGGAAGATAATGGTCTTTTTGATGATGAATCCACTACATAAGCCAAGAATATTTCAAGAGCTTATTTCAGAGTAGATCCATTAGCATAACCTAGGACATACCCTTGGTATTCCAGGCAAGAAAAGTTATTGTATTGTTGTAATAACAAAGTTAGAGTGTCAGAGAGCTTTTGAAGTGATACTGTGCTTTATGCAGGCAGGCTTCAGACTTGGTTTCTTCAGTGTGTATTTTATAAAGTAAAAGGCATCATCTGGCTTTGTGTAGAAAAAATAGGGTTGGGGTTATTAGCATCACATCACAGATATGTTTTAAGTAGCAGATATTTTCTTCCACTTCTGGATCACGGGGTCATTAAATGCCTTTCTCAGACTATCTGGCAGCACGGTCTCTTTCTACCCCGAATGCTCCTAAGCTCCTTGCTATCAGTTCTTCTTTTCTTTCCTTTTTTTCCCCCAAACTGTCTAATGCAGTGCCCAGTGATCTGTCAAAGCTGTGGCTGAGTGTATATGAAGCACGCACTGTGATGAACTGATCGCCTTTTTTGATAGTTAGTCTTGTGCTCTACTGGGTGTGTGGCAACACCGCTGTTCTGCAGTATGCTAAACAAAACTGCTCTTCTTTACCAACCTGGAATTCCTAGCTGCATTAACCCATGCTTTGTGTGCATTAGCGTTAGTATACTGAGGATGCCCATGCTCGTGTTCGGATATTACTTGTTTTCATCCAAGACACTGCAATAGAAATCATCTCTTGGATGTCACACTTCCTTACAGACTCATGGCAGCGTCTTCTTTATTTCCTTGAAATACCTAGCTGAGAAATTGAACGTTACTGCAAGTGGGTTCAGTTGTGTAGGCAGCAAATATTCTCCACGTTCTTTAACGAGAGCTTTGACTACTTTCACTGCAGAAAGAATTGCAATATTGTTCTACTTGCAGTGTATGCAGCTCAGGTAGTTAGTGCTGTGTTGGCAATGAGGACCAAAAATTCAGTGTATTTAATTCTAGCTTGCAAGACAGTTATCTCCCATTTTACATCACTTTATTTCTTGGTGGTTTTGGAGTTTATTTTATTTATCTCAACTATTAAAAATGTCTGCAAATATCCCCATGGCAATGGAATTTGCTTGGCAGCAATATATAGTTACATGAATCATGACTAGACAGTAAATAAATGGTTTAAGGCATAGCTGAAGACCAAATGCAAGCTGATGTGTTTGGTAACAGCAGAAGGTGTTTATTGTGAATATACGTCTACACCATTAATATTCTTTCCTGGAAAACCAGAGTTCTGCAAAAGGTTTGAGAGTTTTATCCTGACTTCTGGGGGGATGCTGACCAAAACAAACTCTTTCCTTTCAGATGGATGGACATCGCCACAGCTCTGCTGTGTCTGAGCTCAGAAAGGAAAGGTGGCTGTGGAAATTCTGTTGGAAAGAATTCACGTTCGTTGCATTTCTTTGATTATTTGCCTATTAGAGCTATGGACTGTCCACAGCAGATCCATGGAGAAGTAACCTTGTAGATGAGCATTTTGCTGGAGGCCATGCCTTTGACACACGGCAGGCTAAAGCAGCATTTAGGGACTTTCAAAAGATCTCCTGTACATATATTTAACTTCCAGTGAATAAACAAGCCACTGTTTTTCCTAATGGTATGTAATGGAATAAGATGGCTGCAGTTCTGCCAAGCTCTTTTATTTGTTTATTTATTTTTTGCAAGAGAACACTATTTGATTTTCCTGGGATACAATTGGCAAAGAAGCCTTTTTCAGAGTATTCATGATTACCACAGCTATGAAAAAAGTGTCCATTCAACTTAATGTCTTAGATGGACCCATTAGCTACTGATGTCTTGTTGCATAAATGCACACGGTTGCAAAAATGACACAGGTTTTTAATGTAGGATGTCTTAATCCATTGTGATAGCGACGTGGCTTCTCCTTCAAAACATGGAGGGCAGGCTGTGCAGCCAAGGGTGTTTTAATTCCGTATCTGGAGTTCAGCAAATGGAAGAGAGAGCATTCAAAGACTTAAAATAAACCACAGTGTGATAAATCATAACAAAGTACAAAATGAAAACATTCAATTTATTTAGAGAACATTCTCAAAGAATGGAATACATCAGTCTTGGACCAAAGCATACAGTTATCCAGACAGCTGTTAATTCACAGTTTATTTATAAAATGATTCAATTTTTGATAACATCTATGTATGGCAAGATGCCCAACCTCTGGGGCACAATGGGGAGAGGTTGTTAAGCTAGCATCCTCCTTTCCCTTTACCTACTAGCAAAGAAGTGGAAAGAATCAGTGTTGCTCTGCTGACTCAAGTCCAACAGCAATGCCAGGCGAGTCCTACTAGTAATTTACACCCATCAGAGAAAAGAAAGATCCTCTCCAATGGAGGGAACAGGAAAACTTCACAGGAGGCCCTCAGGACAGCCATCCAAAGCTAGTAGACCTATTCTGATACAAAGTCAGCACTTTGCCTTCTGTCACAGAGGAAATTAAATGAAAGTAATCACTCAGAACGACTAAATAAAAGCAGGAATTATCTTACATGTTTTGTGTGAGTGGGTGATGGAAAATCCAGGTGTCTACAGGCAGCACGAATGTTATAGCTGTTATAATTAATTCCACTTTTCTGATTACTTGAATGGGAAAACACATAATTTCTGCTTGTGCAGTTTTCTGAAGGAACAGTGAGTGCAAGTAGCTAATGAATCCACAAGGCAAAGGACTGGTCTGGACTGAAAGAGGTCTTAAAATGTGTGTGTGTGTACAGAAGTTCCATTCACTGTGTATGACTTACAAATTTAGCATGGCTGACAAAAGAAGTTGCCTTGGCCACAAAATGTTTGTCTCTAATAGTAATGACCTAAAATATGTATTTGATATTGGAAAAAATAACATATTGGTCATTTGTCTGACAGATTTTACCGCTTCCTGGCTGATTATTGAGGAATTCAGAATGCTTTTTGGCAAACAATAAGTATGCCTACACTGGGGAATTTCTTATTCTTTTTTTTTTTTTCAGGAAACACAGCTACATTAGTGCTATGAAAGCAGGCTTTCTCACCACCATTTATCTAATGCTGTCTGGGCTCCGTGGCTTTTCTAGATCCCTTTTATCTGCTTCATAGCAGGCCCCAATCCTGCAATGAATTCCCCTTGGTACAGAGGCTGGCAGTGCTCGCTGCAGAGTCCCGGCCATTACCCATATCGTTCTGTAAACATGCAGGTGATAGCAGCACCTGAGCTAGCAAATACCAAGCTGGCACTTTTGCATGGAGCTCAGATGAGAGTCACTGAGATGCAGTGCCCCAAAGAAGCCATTTGCCCTTCAGCACGGCAGCCACTGGGGCAGAGGCTGTGTGACCCCGGGGCGGTGAGCTGCCCACCTTTGCCCACCTTTGATGCCTGATGCAATCAATTAGGAAATGAAGATGGGAACGGGCCAACCTGGCTTCTGTTTTATCTTTTCCCAGTGTGAGCTGAAGAGGTATTTCACTGTTTTGGAGTTTTCCTGTCCAGGTCCTTCCTCCTCATTTTCATTTTTTAAATGAAATTTTAATTTTCTACGACCGAGCACTTTTATTTAATACAAAACCACACATCAAAAAAAAAAAAAAAAAAAATTGGAGGAATGTTTTTAAGGCTTTCTTCCTCAGCAAACGGACTTCCACAGAGCTCCACACATGCCCCTGGTAAATAAATGAGGAAATAAAGAGCATTAAACTCATAAAACAATTGCAGTATTTTGCTGAGGGCTGGCATCCCTGCAGTACAGCTGCTTCTCCCGGCCTCCTGGGAGCTGGGAAAGGGACAATAGCGAGCTATGTGATGTGACTGACAGATCTGCTAGGCCCCCATCCTAAAGGCACATGCATGTATTACCCGTACCATCAGACCTGAAGCTTTCCTGTAGGCTTAGCACCGTCTTCAAAGACTTTCTCTCAACCAGCCAGGAGTCAGTGGCTTCACGTGAGAAGCCATTTCTGAAACTCCTGCATGAGCTTTAGCTCGGATGATCGTAACGATCTCTTTTGGCCGTGCAGTCAGTCACTGAGCAGACGATCTGATGGCTTTCCCCAGAACGTGCCTTTATATCTTGATGAGCATCTGGCCTAACAGGTGTGGCTATGCCTACAAGCAGCCCAAAACAGCCAGCTGTGCTTGTAAGGAAATATTAAAATCTGCAGTCATCAGGGGAGAGAAGCCTTCGCCGAAGACTGTAAATAAGAGAAGAATGCAGTGGTTTTGGGCCTTTTGCCCAAGCTGATAAACCTTGACTCGTGTTGTGCCTTTGCTTTCTTAAGAAGCCCCAAGAGTTATTTCTTGCTGGAGACAAAAGAACTCGATTGTTATCCTTGTCACAAACGGAGGCCATTCCCACAGCTGGAGCTCACGCTGGAGGCCAGGGATGCCCAACTGAACCCCTAGCATTACTCCAGGCTGTGGGCAAGGCCCAGCACTCTCATCTGTACGTGGCCCCTGGGTGCTCTAGCTTGATCCTACACATTTCCTCCTCCACTGCTGATTTATGATGGTTTGTCACACCCTATTTCCCAGTGTGCATGTCCTGTGACAAACCCTCTGCTCCCAAGTGGGTGTTGAAAAGGCAAAAGGGAACAGGAAGGTAGTAAGTAAAGTAGGTGATGGTTAATTAGCTTGGCCTTCCAGGAGCTAAAGGACAACAGATCTCACACCCTATGAGGAGAAGTCACTCCTCAGGAAATCCTTGCAGATCATTGTTCCACTGGAGCAGGAAAACAAGCCTCTCACAATAGAAAATATCTTCCCATCAGGAGCATTAGAAAACGATAAAGCAACCAAACTGCGATAGAGTGAGTCATCACTCGACAATTTTCCCTCAGTGCTTTCCCAGAGGTTGCTTGCAAAAGCTGTGGGTTGCTAAGCCAGAGTTTGGAGGCTCTAAGATGGGGAGAGCCATCAGAGAGACCCTATGTGATGGAAGTGCTGACTTCTAAATCTCAGTTAAGCTCACAAGTATCTGCAGGAAGATCCATCTTTCTTGTTCTAAATTAAAAATGTGCTTTTTAGCAAATCTGAAGGAAGTGTTGTGGTTGCTATGGACAAAATGTACGTAGGATCCAAACCTCAGAATTTTCGCTTCTAGTAGATAAAAACCAAAGAAGGTAGAAGAAGTTAAAGTAGTGTGATGCTGTCACATCCCTTGCAGAGCCACCAGTTCAGAGTTAGTCCCAGACCATCTCATGGAAAGCAGCTTTGTCTGCAGCATTCCCCTGCCTGTCCTGGTACCTGGCCTTGGAATCCTTCTAGCCCACTGAAGTGACTTAAAGTGCAGAAGGTCTTCAAGCCATCACTCAGCTCCCCCTTCATTACCCATTCAAACTGTCCAAGTAATTCATTTACTACCTGTAATTATCTGATATGAGGAGGAATTGAGCTTAAAAAAGGAAAGCCACGGGATTCTGAAGTCCTACAGAAGTATCACATCCTCTTTCTTCCTGCAGATGCAAGCTGTCAAAAATAGCCACCCTCCTTTAACATTCAGTTATCTCTGGTACAGCAGGCTGCCTGTAGCTGCACCAAGAACAATTCAGATAAGACATCAGTATTTTATCACTGTGTGGTCTAACCTTACTTAAAGCAAGTCTGGTTGATGTAGTAATGAAAAAATATCAACACCTAACAGTACCTTTCTTGCCTTGAAGCTCATACTATCGTTATCAACAACCCAGCCACAAGGGATATTCCAACAGATATCATTTGGAATAACAGAAAAATACAATGGAGAAAAGTCGGGTGGAAACCCAGGTTTTGGAGTCACACTGGAGCAAGAATCACGAGGAGAAGAAGAAATTGGAACTAGATTTCATGTCTATTGTGCTCCTGTCTGTCTGCAACATCCCATGGAAAATGATAGAAAAATGCTTAGGCATTGTTAATCAACCTAATCATTAGTGTCTTCCTGAGCTATAGGGAATTTACAGCTTCCATGGAATTCCCTTTGGTTCTTTTTTTCAAGATAGCTGGCAGACTGTTACATTTCTGTGTTTCATGATGGCTTCATATGCTGTGACTGCCTGCTCTGAGAGCAATAGGCTGTGCTGTAGCAGCGCCTCTGTTCTGAGAATGTCCAGACATGCTCCATACCTCTAATGAGATTATTTTTACTGTCTTAAGGGTATTTTAGGTCTTCACAGAATTGGAGTTTAGCTGCATACCTTACAGGCATGTTCTGTATCTAAAGACTGATGTCAGCTGCATACACTACTGTGTAAGGTACGTCAGAAATATGTAACGCGTGATAAACAGAAAGATGTGCTTGGGGTTTCCATCATCCTTCCTCTTAGTGAGGTATTTCAGGACTTCAGCTAAATGCACATGTCTTACATTAGAGAAGCTTAGCGGGCTCAGAATATGTATATCCCCATTTCCCTTCAGCTTGTGAAGCTGCATTACTACCAAAGCTGAGTAAAGTATCTTTATTGAGTCACTGTAAACAGCTCCTATTCAGCTCCCGAGCCAGCAATCACACTACTGAGCTCTTTTTTTCCTTTTCTTTCTTTTTTTCCCTGCAGTTTTTTTCTTTTTCGGAAATAAGAAGTTTTTCGTGCACGTTGATTTCATCATTCAGGAATTTAATTCAGCAGTCACCTTAAAAGGCCATTCATTTTGAGTCTAGGGAGGAGTGCATTTGCTTCCTTTGCAAAATGTGATTGTCAAGGTTTATAGACTTCCCTCCCCCCCCTTAATTCATCTTAAAATAGGAAATGCAGAAAGAGCAGTATAGTAGAACACAGCACACATTTATATGGTTAGCTAAATGAACAAGGCTTGTGAGGGGCTCGCTTCTTACTAACCTGAGCACACTGGGAGGTCTTTCCGAGGGTCACAGCTACAGATGGAGCCGTTGCCCTAGTTGGGCAAGCTGCTGATTCAGGCTTTGTAATTGGCCAGCTGAAGAGATCAAAGACAAAAAATGAAAAAATCCGGATGAAAGCTAGGTGCTGGTGTGGCCGTAATTTCTCTCCAAAATACCTGGTTCCCAGGTTACAGTGCTGTCTGGCTGTATCTGCCACACTTCCAATGGGAAGAATAAAACAAAGGCGTGTAGGCTTCACCACAGCATTATTATTATTATTATTATTATTTTTGTATAGATTTCTCCAAATCTGATCAGTGATTGCAGGTGAGGCTGTTAGCTCCAACTGCTATTAAAGTTGTCTACACATCTCATCATAAACTCCTGTTTCCAGCCAGTTGTAGCTATTTCAGAGTTCAGCTTCTGGAACTGGGCTGTTCAGAGGTGATAGCTGCACTTGCCACATCACAAACACACGCATGTATAGGTGATGATGCTTTTCAGATACAGCAAAAAAGTGAAATGCATTTCACTCAGGTCAAAGGTTTCTGGAATGAGTATTTGGTATGAGGAGGTGTGGAGGAGGAAGTGAGCTTTCTGAAAGAGCACCATCTTTTATGATCCTTGAGCAAATTCAGCCAGGGTTAGCTCAGACAGGCCTTTCAAAGCTTGCAGCTCACACATGTTCAGCAGAAACCTTTAAAATGTTAGCTGTTAACCTCCTTGGCGATTTGCTGCCTCGAGCGCATCTAGTCCAAGTGCAAGATTCTTTTATTTTTTGGTATGGTTGTTACGATGCTCTGTGGCAGGCTGTGCTTCACACTTAGATCTCAACTCTTCAGGGCCTGGGGCTGAACCCCTCTGAGGTGGCACAGGAGGAAGGGAAAGAGGCCACAGGCAGTGATGCTGATCCAGGGAGAGGATAACAGCAATGGTTCAGGCAACAAGCTGTGTCTGTGTTTGCATCTGATGTCTGCAGTGCACTTATCTTGGATTTTCTAGGGCCAAGGATTTGCTGTGCAAGATTAGGAATGTGTGGGAAGTTTAAGGAGCAGAGGTGAGGGCTGGCTAAATACAAAGTACTGGACTTACAACTGAGGGTGAGGAGAAGGTGGAGCAGCGGAGCAGCGGTGCAAATAAACTGCTCCTGGAGTGTGAATGCTACCTTGGACTCAGTCCTGCTGCTCCAGAACTCCTTGCTCATAAGACAGAATTTGTGTGATGGTACCTGGGCGCTCCTCATATCCTTGGGCATCAACACGATTCCTGACTTGAAACAGAGCCAGGTGCTCAGAGCTATAACTGAAGGCAATGGGGGCTGTGTTTTCAGTATATGCAAAAAAAACCTCAGAGATTTACAAGCAATTATTGATGTCTGTGAAGTACTCATAGATTGTAATGTTGTCAATTGAAAAGTGCCTTGGGGAACAAATAAAAGAACAGACAGTAAGGTCTGATGCCACATTAAACTATGAGGAGAATACAAATCATGCAGTTGTTGCTCATTCCATGGCCACTTCTTGATCTGAATACTGGCAACAGCAAAATTACTCTGAAAAAATAGTTATGTAGCATGTCACTAGGAGCTGAGTCATAGTCCATGGAAGTGTTAATTGGAAAAGCACCATCCCTTTCCTTTCATGTAATACCAATAGTGTACAAGCTGTGTTTTTTCAAGCCTTCTCCACTTATAGACCCCTATAAGCTTTGCAGGGGAGATGCAGACCCTTGGATAAGGACAAGATACTTGTTTGTTCCACGGCTACCTCTTCTGAAGCCCTTGGAAGTCCTCTGGATCTCTAGGAGTCTGCAGACCACATGTTGTAAACCATCATTTCTGACTGTATAGCTCACAAAGGAAAAAAAAAGACAAAAAAAAGCCTGTTACATCACCAATCATTCTCTTGGTCCTTCCAGTAACACACACTGTGTCATAATTAAGCGTATGAAATGTTCAGTGCCCTCGCTGCCAGCAATATTCTTGAAAGGAAGAAAGGAGTTTGTTTTGACTGTGCTGTATCAGATGTCCTGCCTGAGACTTTGTCTCTTTCTTTACCTGTTTTTTCCCCCCGTTGCCACTGCTCCGTTTGCCCTGGCCAACCACCACTCCTGTAGCCCTGCTCTGAGTTAGGGTTCCTGCCCGTTGGCTCACCTCTGCCTACTTTAGTCCAGCTCCTTCCACACACCAGGTAATGCCGCAATCTGCTTTGAGCATTCACACACTGGAATGTTTCCATCCCACTGCAAATTGAGGGTGTTATTTGGTTCTGCAAAAACAAATATTACAAAGGTGTTTCCTCTCGAAGTTTTGGAACTTCTGTCACCAGTGCATAAGGATCTGTAGTTACAGCAATGTACCCCTCCATCCAGCACAGCTGCCTCCAGCACCGTTCCCCCTCATTAGAAATCTATCCTATAATTTCAGATTAGAACTACATAAGGCAGTAATTGGCCCTTTCTGTTCTAGTCTTTGCAGATTTTGCCTTGTCAAGATGAGGCGTTTGTTGTTCTTAAACCTTTCCACCCCTTGGCAATAGGTCTTGAACTTCATTTTGCTTTGCTTCGCCTGTGTTGGCAGTTGCCCTGGTTCAGTTGCTGTAAGAGCTGGCTGCAGACAGCTTTTCTTCAGGAAGAGCAAGCCTCTGATTCTCTTGGTAATAGTACAGCCACTGATTTATTTATTTTTTCTCACCACTTGACATTCAGCTTTTTGCTACACTGGTGAGCTGAGTCACTTTCCCACTGCTACTCTGGCTGTGAAAATCATAGAAGAAAGCGATGTGAAATGGTAGGCTTTGTCAATCACCTATTCGAAATATCTTCTTTCTGGAAAATGGAACAAAGTATGTATCTCATTATTCATTATTTTTACGACAAATCCTTTAAAACTGTGGTTGTTCCCTGTAGAGGAGAGAAATCTGAGAGACTTTCTCGAGCTCAGAATACGTCACTGCTGCCTTAGTGCTGGTGAGGTCACATCCGGAGTGCTGGGTCCATTTCTGGGCCCCCCAGTATGAGAAAGATACAGACGTACTGGAAAGAGTCCAATGTAGGGCCACTAAGGTGATGAAGAGGCTGGAGCATCAGGACAGGCTGAGATATCTGCGCCTGTTCAGCCTGGAGAAGAAGCAGCCCAAGGGGATCTCATGCACATCTATGTATAGCTGAAGGGAGGGTGCCGAAAGGATGGGGCCAGGCTCTTTCCAGTGGTGCCCAGAGCCACGACAAGAGGCAGTGGACACAAACTGAGGTTTCCTCTGGACCTCAGCAAACACTTCTACAATGCACAGGTGCTGGAGTGTTTGCACAGCCTCCCCGGAGGCTATGGAGTCTCCTTGAAGATCTCCAAAAGCTGCCTGGATGTGGGCCTGGGTGCCCTGCTGTGCATGGCCCTGCTTGGGCAGGAATTGGACCAGATGGACCCAGAAGTCCCTGCCCACCTCAGCCTTTCTGAGATTCCATGATTCTGTCTGCAAGTCTTAGCAATAGGTGCTGGGCTGTACTTGCTAGCATAGCACAGCAACATACAGATAATTCGTGGTAAATTTGTGAGCGAGCTCCTTCTAGCTATTTTTTTTTTATTTCAGTTGGCAAAATACAAAAAAGCATTTCTTATTCTGGCCTCCAAACTCATTTACCAATAGATTAAAAAAGCAGACCAACCCCCTAAGAGCTTTAGCAAACCACGAGCTTTTTCCCATATGCCAGGATGCGTCATCAGATTTTTGAAGAGAAGCAAAATGGACACAAAGGACTGCATGAGTGGGCTGGGGGCAAAGGTCTGTATATATGTACATGGAGCAGCAGCTTTAAAGTGTTTCCTTCTCTGATCTTCCTGCCTCTTGCCTCGGTGTCTGCATGGCTGAGGTGTGCACATGCATGCACATGTATGTATACAGGTATGTGTTGCTGCAGATATATGTGCATTGGGAATTATGCTTTGCATAGACTGCTATGCACTGTTTTAACTGTTCCTGATGTTTCCTGCTCCAGCCTTCCCACCCCCTGAACCACCAACACCAATTCCCTTCTGCGTTATTGCTGCCAACACACTGTACAATGCCAAAGAGAAGTTTTTAAGTTCCACAGGTAACGCCATCTTTCTTTCTAATTACCCCCAATTAGTGGGGATAAACATTTCCTCAGAGGGTACAACGTTAAACCACATTCCAGCATTCACCTCAACTTTCTGGTAAGGCTGAGCTTTAAAAAGTGGGAGCACTTCTTCCTAGTGGGAGCAGAAAATTCTGTCCTCAAAAGTACTTGTGAAAATCCAGCCTTTCTTTCTGGAGCAAAGTGTGCAGCTTGCAGTTGCTGATTCTCTTCATGTGTTCCCATGAGTGGAGATGGCCCTAATCTGACTTTTCCTTTCTCATCATACTCGGTGCATTCGCTTCCTCTGTGGGCTGCCTTTGAATGTGTTTGTTTGGTTTCTTGCTGTTTGCCAAACTTCTTTGTTCTTTTCTTCAAGAGTTTGCCATGTCTCTTATGGCAGTCTTGATTCTGTACCCTGCTCTGCTTTGTTTGGGTGGGTTTAGCGTGCCAGTTGTATGAGGATGTGCCTCTGTTGTCATTTTCATGTTCTGAACGTTAGTGCTCTGTTGAAGATCGAGACTGCAGGGGGAAAGTCCAAAAATTAAAACTGTAAAGCAAAGCCCCATTGGCAGCAAAGGGAAAATAAAAAGAAGAATGAAAAAAAAACCAATATGCATAAGTAAGATTAATAAAAGAGGCATAGGATTAAAAAAGCACCTAATTTCTTCCCTCATGCTGAATCCAGATGTAACTCAATAACAGAATCCATTGAAATACAGAAGAATCATACTTACTGCATTGTACAATCACTTCATTTTTGCAGTCAGAAAAAATATGAAAAATCCAGTGTTAGTAATGCCCCCCTTTCATAAGAATCCAAATCTTCGCATGGTTTAAGGCCATTCTGCAATATGATCCTCTTATCTCTGGTAAAAGTCTGCGAGGTTTATCAGCAGCTTTTGACACAAATGAACTCAAGATATTGCTGCCTTTCCACAGAAGCTCTCTGGGATCAGTGGGGTCACTCTGAAGATGAAAACTATCTGCTCTCCCTGCAGAAATACCTGGAAGGACCATAATAGTTATTTCCAATACCATAAAGGACCATAATGGTTATCTGCCTTGCTTCACATCCCCTCACAGAAAGCTGGTTGTCAGTGTTTGTGTCAGTGGCATTTCATTTTCTGAGCCATCTCAGATTTTAAAATAAACAGTTCCATGTATCTCATAATGGGTACTGAACAGCACACTCACCAGGCTATCGCCCAGCCTGGGGATGGTGAATGTCAGAAGGAGAGAAAAAAATAACTCAAAATAAGTTTGAAAAAAAGATGAGTAGCGCTGACAGATGGTACGGCCCTTTTAGGAAATCACGACTTTCCCCTCCTTCTATCAGTTGCTAAACTGAGATTACATCTGAGAGAATTATCAAGAATATCAGCAGTCAGGTAGTACTTAATGCTTGGGCACCCTTGAAGCCATCTGACACAACTTCCATCTTACCCAACCTGCTTCTTGGATGGTAGAGTTCATCTCTGCAGTTCTTTATTTCTCAGTGGGAAGAGAGGAATACTGTAGCTTTTAGACTGACCAGGAGGCTGCTCAGATGCATTACCCAGTCCACCGTGCAGCTGTGTGTCTCTTGAACTGCAAAGGCAAATGGGAACATGTCAGAATACATTTCCCTGCAGCCTAGAGACTGCACGTGCAGTAGCTGCTCTCACCCAGAGCAGTGATTTTTCTCTTTGCTGCTTTCCATGGGATGGGGTTCAGCCCCATTAATGACTGAATAGCCTTCCCAAGCACTCCAGGGATACTGGCCAAGAGACAGTGATGTAACGGTCACAACAGAAATGAAACTCAGATGAGTTGAGGGGAATGAGTAGGAAGGACATGCATTTGCTACAGAAATTCATCTGGCAAAGAAATAGAAAGAAAGAAAAAGAAAAAAAAGCAGTTCACTGCTTGCTTTGAAAAAAAAAAACGTTGCAAAATGCATATTGTTTACTTCAGCCTTCCTTCAGCAGAAGCAGTGACATATTGTCTGCAAAATTACCACCCGCATCCCCGACTTTAACTGTATTATATCCAATCATTCCTCCAAAGAGAAAAGCTGTGGGTACCTTCCAGACATGCAGTTCTGAGCTGGACAGAGCCACGTTTACAACGGGCTCCTCCCAGTGACACATAGAATGCTACAAAGGGGCAACAGGGGGGCCGTGGTCCCTCTGCTCTCTCATCTGGGATACAACTGGCCCTTGTTTCAGCAAAAGGATGGAGAAAATGTTGCCCTTCATTTGGTAGCCATACACAACAATGACAGTTATGACGGGAAGGGATAGGAATTAGTGATAAGCATTCTGGAGAACTCTCTTACTTAAGAACTGAGAGCTGCCAGCAGAGGTGTTTGCATGTGTAGGATGGAGTCCCTCATCATCACAGAGAGGGATGCAGATACATGCTGCAAACTAATAATTCAAGAAGGGCCTTCTGAGAGGCTAAAAAGGACCAGGCTTCTACATTTCTGTAGTGAAGAGCACAAAAGAGAGCCCAATACACCTCTTAGTGTTACTGGAAGAATCCATTTTGCAGTAGTATAAGCAAAGTTTAGGTGATTGGCAGCCAAACGTGCTGCAGATTAACTATACGTCATTATGATATGTGAGATGGAAGGCACAGAAAAAAATGAAGACTGGGAGAGCTGGCAAGGAGGACAGGGCCAGTGATTGCAGCTGGAGAATACCCATAAATCTGATGGCTACAGAGCAAGATAATGCAAAGCAAAGGTTGTAAAATGACCAATATGAATGAAGGCCAGTAGAGAGAAGGAGGAGGGTTGGCTGAATGCAGCAGCCACTGAAGACATGCTGTTGGTGCATGCAATAAGCATGTGGGCAGACAAACATCACTTGGGCTTGTTCCCCAGTCCTTCTTCAGGATGCATGGCCTCTCCTATTTCCTATAACAAAGACTTTCCCATCAAACATTCTCTTTTTTTTTGGCTTGACTCTGACTGTAACGACCTCACTTTCAGGCTGGCACAATCTGGTTCTTGCTGTGTGGTCTGTAACTTTCTCAGGCAGGCTGTAAGCTCCACGCTATGCTTGCTGCTCCAGCTGAATTCCTATGCCTGGCCTTCTGTACTGTGCTGTGCAAACCATGATAGCAGTGAAGTATGAAGCCCAGACTATGACAGTACCTACATGGTACCAAAAGCACACCAAGGGTGTTGTATGTATGGATAATAACCTACACAGCTGTAAAAATGAGATGTATGTGCACATTACAAAGGGGTGGGATTTACAGCTTGTACATGCAGAACTATTCTTGCAACAGCATAGCAGTTGTTTAGGGAAAAAGTAGTGATAAAAGAAAGTTAATTTTAATTTTGAGAGGACTTCCTGTGCAAGAAGAACACCACGTTATGTGCATGCAGAAGTGAGTGGTGCCACCACAAGAATAAAATGACCCAGATGCACTTGAGGTCTGGTCAAATTCAGATGCAGTCAAGAATTTTAAGCATCAAAATACACTTTTTTTTTTCCCTAAAACATTTGTAGCTCATAGAAAACCTCCACTTGGTGAGAAGCCATGATGTATTTCTAAAGCATGAAATATCTCAGGCAGAGCTGTCACCAGTGAAAAACAATTTGGACTCAAGTGAAAGAAATGGTGAAAAAAAAAGTGTAATAGGAAGCCATTATAGGCACTGGAGGAGGATGAGAAAGCAGAACAGGAAATGTTTGTGCAGATAAAGGAAGCCTGCAAAGCAACTACAAGAGGGATCATAGGAATTTCAATCTGCCTGTCACTGTGTGGAATTGAAATTAGGAAATATCAAATGTGCGTGAAAAACTGAAGACGAAGCTTAGCCCTGAATGACATTCAGACAGTTATTGGGTGTGCAGCTAGAGATACAGCTCAGAAAGCTCGAGCCTGGAGGTCCTTGCTGCTCCCTGAGCTCCAAACGAGTGCAGGTCGGGAAGCATCAGTTCATTGACCTTCTGGTCACAGCACCGCCTGTTTGCTCAGGCCTGCTGCAGATGGCTGGGGGCTGACATGTTCACAGAGGAGGTCGTGCGTTTAGCTTGTGGAAATTGACTCTTGTCATGTTGGTGGAGTGAATGAACTACAAACTGTTGGGAAGATGACTTGGTAAAGTACAAGATGGTCGAGTCTTTGTTCTTCTGGAAGGTATCGTGGTGAGGGGGTTTTTATCACTTGAGTTATTCTTAAGCAGTGATGAAATATATAAGCAATACCTATCATTTTTGGTAACTACAATGTTCACTAAAAAAGTTCCTTTTACAGTTAAAAAAAAAATAAATCAGATACAAAAAAATATTTTGCTGCCACCAACACCATCTTGGCTTTTGTGAGGTGCAAATTCTCCTCTGCAAAAGTGCATTAATGGGTAAGAAGCTTTGGGAAAACTTTTATTTGTTGCAGTTATAAGAAAGTATTGCAAACTGAAAATTGCTGGATGTTACTCAGGTGATGTTAAAGCTTCAGGTCTGGCATCACTGGTTTTCTGTCTGTCCCCAGCTGCTGCTCAGGCTCTCCGTGTCCTCTGCACTGCTGCAGCTCTTCCTTTTCCCACCTGTTCCTTCCATTGACCACTTGATGCATACCTCACCCAAAAAAAGCGTGTTCTGCCACGAGGCCACAATAAATCAAGTGGAAGTCCCCTCTGATGCTGGACTTGAACAGACTGGAAGAACACCAGCCCATGCTAAGAAGACTGTTGCCAGGAAATACAAAGTGTTGCAAGAGTAACCACCAAATATTTATGGGCAGCGGTTCAAAGCTTTTCTGAGAAGCTGAAGCTGTAAAATTCACAGTGCTAGGCTTCTTTTTGCAAAGATGCATCTGAACAAGCATCCACTGCGTTCTGATTCATAGCACGGGCCTACTAGTGGATAATTCTGCACAACAGTAATCACTTCAAGGTTTCTCCTGTCTATGTCCAAGGTTTCTGCTATCAATGCAGATTGTTCCTCAGCATCTGCTGATATGGATAACACCCTTTATTTCTAGCGTTTTACCTTTTCTGGTCTTCATTTGTCCTGGTGGAAGATGATCTAGTTTGATATTTCTCAAGACATAACTGTTGTGTCTGAAGTCGTGCTTGTTTGTGTAACAGGGACTGCACTCGAGAGCTTTGCAGGAATGAGAACGACCACTGATTTCACAACGAGGCTGAGATTCACTCAGGTTTCAGTGAAACAGTGGGAGAAGAGTGCAGATAGTGAATTCCACTTCCCTCTGCTGCATCCATACATCGGTTTCCAAACGCTCTGCAGACAGGTTTTCAAGAACTAATTGGAGAATCAAACTTTTTCCTCGGAAACTCTCGTTAGCAGTGTGCAGAAATGCCTGTTCTAATTTAATGAGCCTTTCTAGTAGTATCACACAGCTGTTTTCATAATCTCAAAGCTCTTCTTTAAATAGCTGTGACAATCAAGCCAATTATGCTCCCATGGACCAATTCTTAGTTATCTTTGGTTTGCTTCCACTGGAAACATACTTGTGTCCCTTTGCTGTCATCTGAAATGTGTTTTTGGAATTCAGTATTATTTATCTCACTAATTACTCTTTAACTTGCTTTGCTTATTTTTACAAATTTCCTTTTTTCCCCCTACTAGATTATTTATTTTTTGAAGGTTTACTCCTTATTGTTCCACTGACCTGTGAGGCTCTGAGGCTCTGGGATATTTTTCCTATTTAAAAGTCAAAAGGAGACATTTCAATTTCCTTTTTTTTTCTTCCCCCTCCCCCCCCCCCAAATATTTTCTGCCAGCAATTCCCTTTGATTTGAATGCTTAATTTGGTTTCCCCGACTCACAGAAATTTATGTTAAAGTGGGAGTAGAAGAGATTCTTTTGGCAGCCTGCCTGCTGAACTCTACAAATGCCACTTCACATAGTCCACACTTTGGATGGTTGAATGAGTTCCAGGGAATAGAGCTGGGAAGACAAACCTGCCGACTGAAGCCTTTTAATCCGAGGAGAGGGGAAGCCAACCTCCAGAGTGCTTGATCCTAACCATCATGTCTGCTTTATTTTGACTGCTTCCTCTTGGCAAAGGAATTCATTCTCTTTGCCACTTAATTTGTTGGTCACTGTGATAACTGAGCCAGCAGGCACTAATGGTGCCAATGGATTTGGTGACACTGACACCCGTATGCAAATAAACAGAGAAGATAATGCCATATGGACAACATGCAGTTACCAGGTATTAATGACTTTAGAGCTGTGCTTACCCAGATCTCCTCTGAGACAGGAATCTGACAGAGAAAGCACGGCCCTGTAGTTACACCGTGGTCATATCCCAAACAAGATGATCCTCGTTAGACAGCTGAGAAGTCCTAGAAGCATTTCTGTCCTTCCTAAGGGAAAAATAAACCGCAGGTTAACACTCGCTCTTTGCACGGAAAACGTTAAAACTCACAGCAGATTTCCAGACGTCTGCTTCCCAACTGTTTCTAAAATGTAGGTCATTATATATAGGTGGCATCAGATCAATCTCCACAGAAGTTTCAGAATGTTTTAAACAGAAAAATGAGTCAGATCCCTGTAAGGCTGGTAACTGTCTAACACAAGCTTTTCACGTGTACAGTCCGAGGAAGGTTAAATATCTTTCTTGACCCCTCATTTTTAACTTGAACTCTGTGAATTTTTAACTTGCCATGTTCTCACAGCTGCATAAGGTGGTATTTTGCAGGTAAAATTTCAGTCCGTTTGCATATTTGTGCCATCCAATGTGGTAAAATTAATCCTTCTACTTTGTTCCAAACCTTTGCCATTCACTTGCACATGCAGTCACTCCTTGACTGAAGGCATCTTCCATGAGCCGAAATGTTTGATGTGCCCCATTTACTACGTTTCCTTTGATTTTGTTAGTGTTATTCTTTTCCACATTGGCCCGGTCTGGAACTAAAAGAGCATTTCCAAAATGTGCTCCCCTCCCTGCATGCTCCTTTATGCAAGTGACTTCTGCACTCACACTCATGCCTGCAAACAATTTTCAGATTAGCGAGCAGGACGCATTAGGGGGAGCCACGGCAGAGCAGTGGAGCAGCACAGTGATGTGCCGGAGGGCCTCCAGGCTGGGTGCTGCCAGGCACTGACAGAGGGACTGATGAGGGGCTATGGGTGCTGAGGCTGCCAGAACCATTGGCAGGGAAGCAGAGAGGCACTGGCCCCAAGTATGCAGGTGATTTCAGTCACTGTGTCAAGGCGGCAGTGGACGCTCTGAATCGTGCACTCTGTACAGGTAAAAGCTACTTGACCTGTGAAGCAAAATGTTGGAGGGGATCCTGATGTAACTGTCTGCAGACATCGGCTTGGGAACCTTTATACAGGTTCCTTTGGCCTGGATTGGGTCCACTGCTTCTGGGCATAATGCATTACAGGCAGGACTGGATTCTCTTCCTGAAGAACAGAGCCACGGGGCCCCTCAGCCCCAGGCCAGCACTGCAAGCCAAAAGCCTGACGCATTTTCCCACCGCCTGAGTGTCTGAGAACTCAGCTGAGAGCCAGGCCAGCTGAGAAGGTCCCCGCTAGCCTCAGCAAAAAGTGTGATATTTGGCAGCTCCATTGCTCTATGGGCTATTGAGACACATAACAATGCTGCCAGTACCTCCAGAAGACTGTGGGTTCATCTCCCATGTTGCTTTCCATTGTGCCACGACAGCCCCCCAACAACTCTGATAATGCCACCGCCTTCTGAATGTAAATCCACCTGCATCTGCAACTGCTTGGTTCCTTTATTTGTAAGCTTTTTACGTCTGCTGTTGCTCACAAGTGCCAACGAATAAAGTTGTCTCTTTTTTCCTTTCTATCAGCTGTGGCAAATCCGATCTCCTTGTGCCTATTGCAAATTCTTCTACCACTGAGCTCTTCTGGCATCACGCTGGCTTACATTTTTTTGGGGCAGAGAGGAAACTTTTTTGTGTGGTCATTTAATGCATGAGAAAACTCATGAATAGACTTTCTTGGTAACTGAAATGCTGTTTTTATCTGCAGAATAGAGACAGCCTAACACTGCAAGCTTCCTCCTGCTGCCCTGGCAGTCTCCTGCAATTCCAATTTGGTGCGGCTGCTTTTTTTGGAAGGAAAGAAATAGCTGGAACTCTGCGCTATTCGCTCTCATTGCTGGGGCTAATCAATGAAACAATTGTACTTCTGGCGGTGTGAGCACCGGCTGTGCGTTTAAACTGCTAGGAAACCACTCGTATGTTGTATCAGTCAGCCAGCAGGTGAAAAGCAGTGCCTGTAAACACGGGCCAGATCTGAACCCACAGCATAGCTGAAGAACTGTGCAGACTATTTTCAAACAGTTGAAATATCCAGTTCCTCCATAAGGGCCAATTTGTGATTTCACAACCTGCTGCTGTGGAACGTCAAGAGCAGATCATAATTACTTCAGCTCGGGCGTTCAGAACAGCAACACGTAGACTGCTCGATCAGAACATTAAAAAGGCTTCGTGCAACTAACGAGTAATTAGACAGAAGCAAATGGAGGAACAATATCCTGTGCAAGTTAAACTATTTTCAAACAACAGAGTGCTGTCAGTGGCTCCTCACATCTCTGGGAAAAGGCCCTCTTTCCTGAAATTCCTGTGGAATTTCTTCCCTGAAGATGGCTAGAAGCAATACAGCCCTCTACTGACTGACACGGTTAACCACAGCATGTTTATGTGCTTGTCTTTTAACTCAGCCTCTTATTTTCATCTCAAAATTGTGGCCTGTGGAAAACTGGTTTTCAGCAGAAGCTAATTACTGAAGCACACAATTAATAGCTGATTAGTAACTTGCTGGCTCTCTTTATTACTCATTGCTTTGACATCTGGTCAGGTAGCTGCATGCATAGGCACCTCTGTTTAAGCCTAAGATGGCATTATCATGCAGCTGACATGCAAGGACATCCTTGCCACATCCCCACTGCTCTGTAGTGCTCAGAGAAAATCACTACCTTCCATAGAAGAATGAGACACGACTCCTGATGTCTGTGGCTACCCTGTTCCCCTTTCGACACAGCAGGATGATTTTGATGAAAGCTGATCCCACTGCAGATGTCAATAAATAGTGCAGACGCTGGTGACTGAGAAAGGCCAACTTCTCGTTGATGGAGCACCTGGTAAGGAGGTGGGAGTGTTTGACTTGGGAATTACGTCACATTTAACTGTGTTTCTCTGATAGCTGGTCGTAGGCTGCCTGATGGTGCAAGTGTTTGAAAATGGAGACTGACGTGTAATATGGTACCTATGGACCCTGTATGGTACTTGTCCTGGGGCCTCTTGTGTCCTAAGACCCTGAAAACTTGCATGAAGTCCGTATCTTGCCACAGACTCTCATTAAAACAAACAACTATTGCAAAGCATTTTGAGTTCACACAGCAGTAATGAAAGACGCAAACATGGAAACAATGTAAGTGGACAAAGTACTACTTTCAGTGATGGTTTGTACTGCACCTAGATCCAGGATGGATGTCAGGAAGTTCTACTTCACCAGAAGACTTTTCTAATCCTTAAAGTAAAATGAAGTGCTGGTTTACAGTCGTGTAAAGCTCAGCAGGAGCAGCGTCTGTGTCAGCAAACTGAAAAAAATACCTGGCATACTTGGTGCATGAGTAGTTGGTTGAGCAGTCCAAAAGGCACTCCAGAAAACGTGGTAAGACAACACACTATGTGTAAATACAAAAACAGTCTTACACTGCAGTGAAATGACTGTTGGGATCAGAACTGACCCAAGCCTGCGGAATGAAACTCACAGCAGTTTATAGGACATGGTTTTTACAAAGGGTGAAGGAAGTCCTACGGTGCTCCCCCATCCTCCTTACAGGAGGAGCCGTGTAACCTGCAGTGCTGCTGTGCAAGCCCTAAGCACTCTGCAGGCAGAAAGGAGGCTGATTGCAACTGTTGGAGCTAGATGACCTACATAGGCACATATGGCTCCTGCCCATACTGGAACTGGAGCATCCAGATTTATGCGACTAACACTCCTCTTTGAAGTGCCACTATAAGGAAATTGTAACTGTGTTTAATCCCTTACACAACATACAGGCTGACATCCCCCGTCGCAATTTCTCGAACAACCGAAAGCGAAGGCAGCAAGAACAGCCAAAATATCACTTCTAGGTTATTTTATTGTATCTTCCAATTGCAGATGACATGTTACTACAGACTCTCAGAACACACTGCAAAGCTCCATACATACAAATCGCAAGTATTTGAGACTTTAAACTGGAAGTGGAGACTTTCCCTATGATTCTGAAGAACTTGTGAAAACTTCCTTTAAATAAGGGTGTGGTGCTTAATGGACAGAGATAAATATCATGCTATTATAAAATCTTACAGCTACAAGATTAGCATTTCAGGCTGAGGATATTATACTTTCCAGAGGACAGATGTCAGGATGATGCCTAAAAAGACAAACAAGCAAAGAGAAGCATTTGGAAGCAAAGTATTCGGAAGCATTTAAAAGCAAAACCTAAAACAGCTTGTTTTCACTCAAAAACAATCGAGAATGTTATCACAACAGACAAGAGACAATGGCTCCGACAGAACAAACTATAAATCTACAAATTATATGAGTTTCCAGAACAAGTGGATCTTGATTTTGTAGATACTTAAGCACAAGTGGATGTACTGAGTTTCCTGGGATTGTTGTGTATAACATTACTTGGTTGAGTCCGTAAGAGTGTAAGTCACACGCCATGACATCTGCAAACTTGTAGGATGGGAACCTCAAAAATGATTAATCCCTCTGAAGAGCCATGGTTCTCTTCCTTTGGTCTAAATAGCACTTGCAAACATTTGGTCATTTCTGCTATAAATAATGAGCCATGTATATAAATGATGAGCCATGTATACAAAGCTGTTAAGCAGAGGCTGAGAAAAGATAAGGCATTTCATAATCATTGGACTGGCAGTTCTTAGAAGTTTGTCCTCGTCCCCTCACTAAGGTACCCTCTCAGCTTTGCATGCTTTCTCAGCAATTTATGAATGTTTATGGGGCTGTTTTCAACCTGTAGAGCATTACATAGAGTAGCACAGGGAAAAAAAATGCAAAGGGCAGAGCTGGGAGGGATACTGTCATGCTGTGCATTGAGCATATGAGCAATGCTGCTCTGTTCTGCCTTTTCCATTTCCTCCATGCAACATCTCAGGAGATGGGGAGGCTCCTGGGGACAGGCAGTGCTGTAGCAGTTCATGGAAGAGCAATCCTTTCTCTAATAAAATGCTGAGTAGTCACTTGCATATCTTAATTCTTTCCACACATGTCCTTTTTTGCTCTCACCCTCTAAATTTTGTTCAAACTGAAAAACAGGAATTTGGCCCCGTGTCTGGGACTTCTGGGTAGCAAACAGTCTGACTGGATCTGCAGTAGTGCAGATCCAATGGTGCCTGTCTTGATAAACAGCCACTGCTCATACACTGATCAGCTGTGCTTACAATGCATGTAAATCGGAGGTATCTCTAGCACATCACACTTAGTGCACAGATGCTAGTTATCTAAGTTTGTGCCAGCACAAACTTTATGCAAGATAAGATAAAATGCTTTTAGAACATATCACAGACACCTTGCAATGTACATCA